TTTAATGCTGTTGTTCTAACGTGTCTTGTCGTCTTGATACGTTGCCTTGTGCTCTTATGTGGCTTTCAATCCACATGATAGAACTCCTAGCCTAGCCAGTTTTAAATTAAAAAACGGTACATTGCATGTCTATTTTAGGATTTTTGTACTGATAATTGTTGGAAACTTTAGCTCAGCTTTTCTCTGCTATGGGTAACTGTTAAACAGAACAGTGTTTTGTTATTTTTGTTCTCTGTCCCCCCTTGAGAAATGTTATCAAAAAAAAAAGTCTGGCAAAGTATTCAGGATTGGTATGGTCCTGTCTGAGAGCTCAGCTAGCACTGACTGGTATTGTTTGAGACAGCTCTCACATGAGTTTTCTGTTTATCCTCGTTTCTACCTTGTCCCAGAGGAAAGCGTATGTCCTGGATTGCAGAGGTAGATGCTAATGTGAGTCACTGCTTGGTATTTAGTGGTGAGAAAGTTGGCCACTATCAGTCTTCCCAAATCCTAGCAGAAGCCAAGAAAAATCCGGATGCAGCATAAGCTAGCACTTTCTTCTTCAGGACTATTCTGCCCTTATCGGGCTATTTACTGCACAAGTGGGGCTGTTCTGCTGATTCAGCATCGCAAGAAGTGATGCCAGGGCAGCTCGAGACCACACTTAAGGAATTACAAAGGAGACCATTAGAGTCACAAGTTTTCTCTTTAGCTGATTTTATAAATGGATTTGTTTTCTTTCCGCCTCCTTTGTCCCAGCACTGTTAATAAATAACCTTTTCAATGCCCCTGCTCTTGCAGGAGGCATGAGGAAAGAAGCCTATGCTCATGTGAACTTGCTGCAAGTGGTGCAGCTGGGCTGGGGATCCTGTGGCTGGAAGGTGGGCTCTGGCTTGAGGTTGGGACCTCCCGTAGCCAGAGGGAGAACGGTGCGCAGAGGGGCTGGGGAGCACAGCAGTGGCGGGGAAGCGGCAGGCCTCTAGCTGCTTTTTGCATGGGCTCAGGTTTGCTGGCCATTCCTGCTGCTGAGGGGCTGTGCTCATCTTAACAGAGCCAGCTAGCAGCTCTTTTCCATGCTACAAATCTGTCCCCTTTGCTGGACTGGCTGTGTCACAAGCTTGTCACTTCTTCAGCTGAAGCAACCTCCGTTTTGTTGGCTTTTGACAGTGCAGAGTGTTGATTTCTCTGTCCCAGTAAGCATCTTTGGAACACAGGCTAGAGGATAGAGCAGGAAGCTGGAGGCAAGTGTTACAGAAGAGCTTGGGACTTCCCTGCTTGTACCTCCTTGCTGGGAATGGAGGGTGGCTTGTGCTCTTACTCCTCTGGGGGAGATGGGGTGAGAAGTCAGAGCTGTAATTTCTGTTTGCTGGGCCCAGTCCTGGGTGTAGTCTTTGCGGATGCCTCAGGGCTGCTCGGTCCCCCAGAGGTGATGGTGGTTTAACGCCTCCGCAGCAGCCCCTTGTGTGTAACGTGGGCAGACAGGGCGGCTCCAGCACTTGTCGGAAGGATGGGTTGCTGTGACAGTCCCTTGTCCTTCTTACCACTGTGTACCCATACCGCCTTATCCCAAATATTTCATGTTTGTATTTTGAACAAGGACTTTGGGGGGGAGGGCGAGTAATGAAGACATACAGATTGAAGGCCAAACTACAGTTTGATTATAAATGGGTTTCCTTTCCTGAGCCTAATTCTCCCCAGGATTCACTGCATGTCCCGGTAATAAGTAATCTGAACTTTGGAGATTAATAACATCCTGTGCCAGCCCATTCATCCAGCAAAACCCCTTTGCTGTTTTGTTCCATGTCTGCATGAGGCTCCAGCCCTTGCTAGGTGCTCTTCTGACCATGAAAATTTAGATTCATATTTAACTTTTACTTTTCATTACCTTTGCAACCTCTAAGAAGTATTTCTTCTTACACTTGGGCACTTTTTCGAGGCCTGTGCCCTGCAGCAGGCTTTGGTCCTGTGTTCTTCCCATTGGCTGTCCTGAAAAATACCACAGGGCAATTTGTTTCCTGCTATTTGAAATGGAAATTGTAGCAGCATGAGGAACAGAGCATGATATTCATGCCAAATATCATGAGCTGAATTCTCCTCATGGTTTGTGGGAATCCTACTTATTAAAGCTGACCTCTGAGAAATCAGTATATTTTTCCACAAAGCCTAGAGAGAGGATGCACTCCTCAGCAGGAGACAGAAACTATCCCAGCTGTTCCCTGTCCTGTGCTCTGCAATGAGGAATGGAGATACCAGTGCTGACAGCTGGAGGTATGGGCGCAAATCTGGAAGTGTTTAACTAGAGAGCTGTCTTTTTTTATGCATACAGTCTTAACCTTGGCTTACTGGACGGAGGCAGTGGCACTGCTGCCCTGCCTGGATAGCAAGGGGCCGTTTGCTTCATCTGCTAGAATTAGTTGCAAAGGGAAGGTACCTACAGTTTTCTCTGTTGCAAATGGGTACTATGCATGTTGAGCGAGGAAAAACTCACTGGGTATCTTGCAGGCCTAAGATATGCTCCTCTAAAAGAGCAAGCACCTGTGCTGGAAATCACAATTGCAAGGGGTGGCACAATCCAGGTGTGGGCAATATCCCATGCACCGATGAGCACCGCGGGGGTCCCCCGTGTATGCACTCACGCATGGGGCTGCCAAGGAATGGGCATAATCTGTCCCTCTGCGTACATGGCCTCATCATCCAGGGGCTTTGCCAGTGGCTCTGCTGATGCTGCACCAGCCTGGAGCGGTGTTTGCACTTCTGCGGTTGGTCTCCAATGGTTTTCGCTCCTGAAAGGGAAATGAAACTTCAGGAGAGAAGCTGGTTGCTTTGCTGTGCAGAAATACTCGGGAAGCTCGGGTTCCCGCTGGCTGCAGCAGCATGGGCGGTTGCTCTGTTTGCTCACATGTGGCACTTTGGGCAGCCGTGTTGTTTTTTGGAAGCTGGGGAAGTAAGCCCCTGGAAGCAGTAGTGTTGCTCAATGCACAAGGCGATCCCAGGAATCTGCAATTCGGAGAAAAACGTCCTCGAGATGTGGTGAGGGGCTCGGTGGCCCCAGCCCCTTTGAGGCAGGATTGGTTATCAGTGGAGAGGGCATACAGGGAAAGTGGTGCCTACTGGGAGGGTGTATCCTGACACCGCTGTAAGCGCCAGGTGCAGAGCACGCTGTGGGTGGCGAGGGGTTTGGATTTGTTTTCTCTGCAGTTGTTCCCCTTGCCAGAACCTGTTGTTGGGAGTAGCAGTATTTACAGAGCTCAGGACTTTGTATTTTCCAGGAAGTTTCTGAACTTGCTGACCCAACATGGGTGTTGAAGGGGTGCACAGTTGTTCTGGGTGCTATTTCCTCTCTTTTGCCATGACAGATTGTACATCCCCTGGTGCAGGTGGCTGACGGGGCACAGGGAAGGGTGGGCTGTGCTGGGTTGGTGATGTAACTCACACATCACCAACCTTCTTATTAAAGCAGCAGCCCTAGCCCTGCTGTCTTTAACAGCAATGACAATAATTAAATAGTTGTACACAATAGCTGCCTGGGGCTGAACTAGGAACAAGCGACCAAAGCGGGTGAAGGTTAGTGCTCGTTACCAGCCAGGATGCCGGAGACAGAGAAGGGCATGACTGTCTATTTAGGGATGAGGAAAGCTGATATGACGGTGGGTTTTAGTGAATGACAGGGTAATTCCTCAAAACCAAGGGTGACCATCTCATAATTTGCAATGCATTACTTCCAGCACAAGGGAAATGTATATTGGTCCCAATCTCCATAGAGAAACATTGCTATGAGAGATACAAATTATTACACAAGTAATGCATACTTATTTGTGTCAACAAATAATATGTAGTAGCTCTTAAAAGAAGTGATTTCCCAAATTTAAAAATACTTGAGCTGAATCAGCAGAGTATTTAAAATAGCCAAATAGGAATGCTAATTGGAAGCAGCCTATTCACTTCTTATTCTATTCCCCAAAAGCCTTGATACAACAGTTGAAAGTTATGCTAATTTGAAAAATAATAACATCCCTAAAAGATGCATATTTAGGGAGAAAAAAGGAAGCTGCAATTAATGCAAATATAAAGTTGGGAAGTGTAGAAGATGGTCAAAAGAAGCATTAGGAAAAAATTATGGCCAGAGATTTAAGAAGAGCAAAGAAGAATTTAAGGATATTGAGCAGAAAAGGAAGCCTAGCAGCACCATTGGCCCATTGCAAGTCAGCATATCAGAACTATCAATAATAACAAAACTGAAAAGGTGTCAGTGATTGCAGCTTCTTTTTTCCCCCGAAAGAAAAACAAATGTCTTTACATCATTTGATAGCCAAGTATATTCAAGCAATAACTTGGGTGATAAGCTGGGGAGTTGGGGAAGCCATCTTTAACTCACTGGATATCTTCTGATGAAACTTTCAGCTTTGTGGGTTATGGCAATAAATCTTCTCCAGTTAAAATATAGCTTTGGGCTGGTAGCAAATTAATACCAGAAGTTGCCTGGTAGGAGGCTGATGTAACCGATAACAGTTGTTTCTTCTGATTTGAAAACCTCTTTGATGTGTGAATCCTAAAGAAATGAGTACAAATAGGGTACAGGCTTAGAAGCCCAGTAAACATCATATAAATGTGAAAATTAACTGCATAAAGGTCATTGTGTCAGGGGTATCCTGCCACTTGTTGGTTGTATTTGAGAGTGTTGAGTATCTCTGCTGCGATGTAAATCAGAAGAGTATCTTCCCATAGAGGGACTATTTAATGAACAGGCATCGGGAAAGCTTTGGTGGGGATGGTGTATAATAACAGGGAGAGGGGCTATAGTGTGGGGGTGGGAGGCGGTGTGAGTGTCTTGCAGAGCAGCGGGGGAGGCTGAGCAGCGCACCCAACGCTGCCAGGAGCCGTGGGAAGGTCTCTGACAGGGGAATCCGCCTTGTGCACAAGATGAATGGGGGATTTGTTGGCGGGGCAGCCTGGGTCGCAGGTGCTCCGGCCCGGAACCCCATGGACATCACCCCTGGAGCAGTAAACCCGTGCCACAGGGCCATGGGACTGCCCCGAGCACAAAGCCCCTCCGTGCCGCCACCGGCTGCACGGGCGGCTGCAGAAGGGAGAGAATGAGCCTGTGTGCTGCCTGCTCCTTTGTGTCCGTCTCTTGCTGCTGCTTGGCTTTTGCAGCCTCTAGCACCTGCCAGCTCTTCAGGATTACCATGTGCTTTTCTTTTTTCCAGGAAAACAGGGCTCCTCCAATGTGTATTGTGCAATTTCGCAGGATAGTATCCCAGTCACAACTCTAAAAGCAGCAAAAGGATGAGGTGCTCCCACCTCAAGCAATGTTGTACATATGGATAGCATATAGCGGGATGGTTGCCATGGCTGAACTATGTCTGAATGCAACATGGAACTTTGTTGGGGGAAGGAGGGAACAGATTTATTCAAATACATCTGTATCCCACAAGGAGAGCATACGCATTGCATAGGTCTTTATTAACAGCATGGCTTATGAGTGCATCACCCTCTTTTTGCTGACTCCCTGCCTTCTGAACAGAAGAAACAGAGCTGGGAGAAAGTCCAGGAACCACCCCTGCCCTGAGGCAGAATCAGCTACAAAGCACCGGCAGATAGAGTCTTCGTTTGTTTGAAGACAGCTAACATGTCTCCCTTGCTCTTCTCTTTCTAAACTAAGCAACCCAATTCCTCCAATCTTTCCTCATAGGTCAAGTTTTTAGACTTCTGATCCTTCTTCCTGTTCTCTTCTGGAGTTTCTCCAAGTGGTCTACAACTTCCCTGAAAAGCAGTGTCCAAAACTGGGCATAGAACTTCATAGGAGGCTTTACCAGCTTTAGATGGAGGGAAGTATTGCTGCAAACTGCTATAGCTGCAAGAATGTTTTCTCTAGAAGTGTGACTTAACCAACTGGTCACCAAGCTGTCTTTGGGTGTGTCTTCTCCTTAAGTGAGTTGGATGTTTTCACCAGGCTCTCCTCTATTGATCAAATTTATTTTGAATTCCAGTCCTATGTGTCAGCGTGCTTTTGCTCCCAACTTGGTATTATCACACATATAGGCACACTCTTTACTCCATCTTCCAGCTCACTAACACACGTGTGTGGGTGTGTGTGTGCGCATGCACGTGGCACAGACTAGCTCAAGCGCTCTGCCTCGCTGCTTAGTCTAGATCTATAGGAGTCTGCTGGGGTTTGAGACGTGCAGGGCTGTGCAATTGCAAAATATCAAATGCCTCCGAAAGACATCCAACAAAACAATATTACATTGCTTGGTTTATCAGTTTTGCTGACATTTCAGTGTTTGTACTTCAGCGCTTGTAAGTGTTTAATGTGGAAAAAAATAAACCAGTAAATATGTATTTATAATTGTATATAGCACCACAAGGAGGGCCAGAGATCACACCAGTATTGAGGCCACGATGTTTGCCATATGAATGATTAAAACTTGGAGCAGAGCCTCCCACACTGTTCCATGTAACAGCTGTAAAAAGTGATGTAAAATCCTGATCTGGAGCTTCAATTCTAATTTCAACATGTTCAGTGTCTTGCCCTGGTATTTTGAAATAAAACCTCTTAAACCAAAGCAATTCACTTACTGTATATGTGCTTGTGTGTATATTCTAAGACAAACCTGAGCCTCTCACCAGCCTAAGAAAAGACTTTTCCAGTACATTCGCCTGAAACAGGTGGTTTACATTACTTTGCAGCGAAATCTTCCTAGGTAACTTGGACAAGAGCATGTTTGAACGAAAAAGGCAAATGAAGAATGAGTAAGAAGTCAGATGGGGACAGAGAAAATTTCAGAGAAGTGTGATAAATGAAGCAGTGTGACTCTTCTGAGTGTTTATGGGCTCAGATGTTTCGTTGTGGTGAGTTGAAGACAGGTGTGCCTTTTAGGTAGTGTGCCTCAAACCTTGATGCAAGTTCAGCACCTTCAAGTGTGCAGTTCAGCCTGGTAAACTTCATGACTACTAAAATCTCATTTTCCCTCAGCAGAAGGATAATGTGCATCCCCCCATCCACCCTGAAGAACAGCAGCACTGACTGCTCCCATCCCCTTCCCCTGCCATCGCTGCCAGCAGCACTTCATAGACATGAATTCCTGCAGTTTGTAAACGTGCAGACTGCCAGAGCCCCTGTCTGCTGGGCTCACTGCTGTCCTGGATGATGTTTGTCTGCAAGCAGCTGCCCTGACAGATGCTCCTTCTGCCCAAGCTGCCCACCCTGTGCACAGAGCTGGTCACAGGCGCTGGACGCGTTCAGACTACCAAGGGATTCGGCACCCTTCAGTCATGGGCTCCTGTGCTCTTCCAGCTGGCAGGCAGGCAGGCAGGTTGTTGCTCCTTGCTTTAAAAATATGGTGGCATCTGACTCATTTTCAATACGTACTGTTCCAGATTTCTTAGTCTTCGAGTATGCCTGTGTCCCTTTGTGATGGGTCATAATTCAGTGGCTTCTCGGCACTGCGCTGAGTCTCTCTGATGTGTTTGGGTTCTGCAGCTCCACAGACTATATTCCCATTTGCTGGGCTACATGATTGCATGAGCATCCAGCAGCTCTCCTCTAAAGACTGGACGTGTGCTTAGGAAACCAGTTATTGGAGAGACTCCCAACAGACTGCAGCAGCAACGTGGGTGATCAGCAGCAGAGGTAGCTGCCAGCTGATGGGCAGGATTTGCAAGACGACATCTTATTCTCTGTCGTCACTCCAAGCCTTGTGGGCAGCAGGCAATGTGTCTTGGAACTCCCTTTGCTTGCAGCATGTAGCAGGGCTAATTTAATTAAAAGTGATCAAACGTGGGTTTGCTGGAATTGTGTAGGAGAGGTGCTGGGTTGACTTAGCGCTGGGCGTGATGGTAGATGATCATGTATCTGAGGTAGTACAGGTCCCCACCTCACTTTATTTAGGCCAGGACTGTATCATCTCCTGGTGTAATAGGTATGTTACTGTGCAAGGCTAGTGTCATTGCAGGTCTGGTCGGAATGCTGAAGAAAAATAAAAGCAGAGTATTCTGTATGCAGAGAAGGGCTGCTGGACTGCTCAGGTAAATGGAGGAGGCCGGAAAGACGAAAATCCAGAAAGGATCATTGTTTATAAGTTGGTTAAGAGAATAAATTCCAGGAGGATTGAGAGTTGCAGAAGTTTTGAGACAGAGGGAATAGACTGGCAATAAATAAATTAAAGCCAAAAATGAGAATGTTTCTGACCATACAGAGGTGTGCTGAGAACATAAAGGTGATGGTGGGAACCGTCTCTGTCAGCATGGCACTCGTGCAGTGGAAGAGTGATGGCCTTGCAGAACAGCCTCTTGTGATCCCTTCTGTAACAGGCTGAGCGTGAGCATCTGAAGGAAAAAGCGAACATCACCTTTAGGTGTTGTGCTAAGGCAGTTTACAACAGTATTTGTATTTATTAGAGATGATGCGTCATAGCGAGGTTATCTGAACTGAGCATGGCTTTGAACTATGCACAGCATCTCTCCTTTTCTGTTTGATAATTCTAATTTCAGTCCTTAAGCCAGCCTTAGCCTATCCTTATTGCATCTCTAAAAGCAGCTGGTTGCCTAATTCCTTTTAACATTTGTTGTGAAGTCCTTTGGTGAGAAGGGAGTTGGGAGGTGGGCAGCCTTGGCTGTGAGTGACATCTCCTGGCCGTGCAGAGCTGCCTGTGACAGTGGGATGGCGGCTGGAGGAGCAGCTTCCTATTTGTCTTGAGGCTCTGGAAGACACTGGGGATGATCCTGCTTCCTTGCCTTCACACAGAGTTGCCTCCCATGCTGGTGTGGTCCTTCCTTGGTTATTCACCAAGAGCAACAGGGTTTCTGCAGCAAAACTGCTGTTAGCTGGAATGGCTGCCAACTTCATTCTCAGCTGATAGCTAACTCGGAGACAAAAAGGATATTAGATCTGTTTATGTTCTGGGACCTGCACCACTCACTGGATGGAACCAGTGGTAGCCCCTACAATAAAACAGAGTCCAAAATTAGAAACAGAGATGCCTGAGCAGCTGGGCTGTGCTCAAACATCTGGAGAGAGCTTAATACCTCCACAGCTGGGCAGGGCTCCAGCACCAGGTGGCTCTGAGCTTTGGGGTGGAGAAGAAGAGAAGCAGTGTCATTTCTGTGCCTACTTATGGCCTTATGTGATGTTTTTATCACCACTTACGGTGGGCACTATGGAAGAAGGAGCAGAGATCTGTCTCTGTTTGGGTTCTGGCTGGGCACAGAGACAGAAGATCATGCCTGCTTGGTCTTCAGCTGAGGATAACTGCTAGTGGAAGAAAAGTCCTGGGGCCTGGCAATCAGAGGTGCTACAGGGTTAAGTACTGCTCTGCTTGGAGGAGACTGAGGAGTGTTTGCACGGCATTGAGAGTCGTGGGGTGCAAAGGAGCTGGAGGAGTCTAGGGAATAAGTTAATTCTTCAGCTACTGCAGAACCTGCAATTATGCCTAGAGCTGATGGAGGTAATCAAGTGTGCAGAAAAGGGAACTTGTTCAAATACCTCACCTTTCTGGGCAAATGGCAGGTGAGTTTTAATTACATTGAATTCTTTATCTGGATTTACAATGTTGTAGTTTGGTTTTGGTGTTTTTTAATAATCGAGTACTCAAGTCTGTACACTTTGAGTGCTATTTAGAAGGTTATTGCTTTGTTAGGCTACCTTCTGGATTATGCTTGTCATTTTGTACCTTTTCTTGTATGAAACATTTCAACAAAATGCTGCTTGGTAGCATTAGAGTTCATGCAGATGGATGCTCTGATATGGGATACAGCAATGAAGTCACATATCTGCAATCCCCAGAGTCCTGAAAAGCGCTTATGATACTGAGCTAAAATTCAGGCAAAAGTCATGTTCAGGGTTAAGGAAATAATGTGCCTTGGAAAAAAATGACTAATCTCAGGTTGCAGGTGGGATGCAGACAATTATCATTATGCCTCTGCCTACAGACAAGGGATTTTTACAGCTGTTTATTGGGATGGTCCATTACAGTGAGAAAATTGTTCCCATTTTGCTGCTAATGCTGCTAATTTCAGAGTGTGGCTGCTGAAAAGACACAGCAGACAGACCATACGCATCACAACAGGAAGTTTGAAAACTTTGAAATTATGCGGAGTCACACATCCTTCATTCCTATGACAGTAAACACCCAACAAAGCCGTTAGTGGCTGCCTCTGGGTGAGATCTCAGAGTAACGGTGGCAATAATTCCGTTGATGTGCTGTGCAACTGTCAGCAGCAGTTTCAGTTTTAAAGCATGCTAGCTTCATATCTATACTGTGCAGTTAATTTTACATTATAGCATCTGTTTTTATTCATTTTTCTAGTGTTAAAATAATTTTTGTTCAACAGACATGCTCAGTGCTATCATAACCTGAGCCAACTACTCTCTCCAATAAGAAGAAAAGTCTCCCAGCTGTCATGCTCTGTTGTTTCTAATCACTTCAAGCCATCAGTTCTGGGGCCTTTTCAAGTAAAGCTGTATAAAATGCATTCTTACCTCCTACTGTCTGGTATGTGTACTAAACTATTTTTTTAAGCTGCATTCTTGGAGATATTGGCAAGCATGCTATGCCTCTAACAGGCACTCACAAAATGCGAGCATAACAAGCTTCCAAATTTCACAGTTAGCTTCAACAGATTTACACATGAGCATGATGAAAGGGAGCACAGAGCTTCAGGTCAGCATTAGGTTTCCAATGGACCTGCCTGCGAGATCTTCAAAACAAGTTCTTTTGGCACTTTTAGGTTCCATTTTCTCTAGGCAGGTGGGAAGATGTTATTTGTCTACAGTTAGAGACTTCCAGAGGTATGTTGTTTCTTTTCACCTAGGCTAACTGCTGAAAATAACTCTAGGATTTGGGGTCATTTGTAAGGCTGGGTAACACTTTGTATAGTTCTGGTGCCTGGGACCACCTTTCATGTGAAACCACAGTGGTTAGAAGATGACCCTGTTCAGAACTTGAATGCTTTTCATATTTGCATGTGCGACGTGGGGTGCCAGGATGGCTTTGGAGCATTGAACCAGTATCACCTGAGGGTTGAAGAATGACCTCTGGAACTCCGGTTCTGGCATGCAGATGCAGAGCAGGTTTGGTCACCTTACCTTCTTGGAGCGTGAAGATAGTTGATGTGGTTGCCTGCACAGAGGTATTCTCACCCTGGAGGACCTGTAATGTACTTCTAAACATCTCCTGGAGTATTTGTATACAAGGAGAAGAGAAATTAGTACCCGTGTGAGCAGTCAGACAATCAGTGCTTTTGAGTATGGAGCATCAGTCTGGGTAGAAAGGGATTTCATGTCGTAGGGGGAGCAGGTACGTCCCCTGGAGTGCTGAAACTAGTTTTTAGTTGTAGGCATTGAATTTACAGCTAGATTATAAATCTGGAAAATACTTCTGATACCCTTTCTAGAACTTTGTGTTGTAAGATGGTATTTTGTTAAAAAATACCAAAACTGGCTGAGCCTAAGTTGTGAAGTGAGATTTCCACCATGGGATATATGAAGGAGAATCCGAAGCAGAAAAATATAGAAGACAGTATCATGCTAGCTACTAACAAATGCAGGTATATGTACATTGGTTCTGAAAGCTCAAATGCCATATTGATTGTGAATGATTTCCATCAGCCGTAAGTAGCTTTTTATACAGAATTCTACTGCTAACCATGTATTTTAAGCCCCCAAAATCTTAATTAGTTAGATAGGTCATACCAAATATATCAGTAACACTTAAGGAATCAGACTGGTACAAGTTTTGCAAAGTGTGATTTTTTTAACCATATTACGCCAATTCTGCAAATACAGGCTATTCATAATTTACTGGTCTTGTGACAAGTGGCATCAAAAATCTCCATAGATTTCTTAAATACCCTGTGGAGCGCAGCTTATATTTTCCGTATATCGTTGCCAAGGTGCAGGACAGCATTGCTTGAACTGACTGCCACATACTGAAATGTTAGTGTTAGACTTCCCAAATGCATTACTGGTGATGACGATGTTGTAAATTATTGTAAAAATCATTGTAAAAATAAAAATGAAGCACAAGTATACTAGGACAAAATGTCGCAGGGGTTAAAGCTTTGGGTTCCACGGGTTGTGCTATTTATATATTAGCAGTCTGTTCTTTCAGCTTCTCGGGCATTATTAAGCCAAATGCAGAGCTCTAGAAGAAGTTGGTGTTCGCCCCATACAGATGCTTTTGCTATATGGTTGCTCAGTCACTTGCAGGTGTCTCAAGGACAGGCTAACCATAAGCTGCATCTTGAAGTCCTCCTTCATCACCACATGGAACAGGGCAGCCCATGGAGATATGGCACGGCCCATGAGAGCAGATCTGCAGGACACCAGGGCTCAGCTCTGCCTCTGAGAAATCCCGCACAAGGACTTGGAGCAGGGATGGGCAAAGCCAGATGCTTCGTAGTGGAAAGGGACTGCAGGAACGTGCCTGAAGACCTTTGGGGTGGGAGGTAAGATGGGCTACTGGGATACTAACGTGCTTTTTCTGCTCTAGTCACAGGTACCAAACCAAAGATGTCCTGGACAAGAAAGATTCTACTCATCCTGGGATTCCTCTCTACTTTGGCTGTAATTGCTTTAATTGCTGTAGCAGTGACCCAAAACAAGCCACTTCCGAAGAATATTAAGGTATTACAAGCTGGGACTCTTACAGGAAAACAAGCCAAGCTGGGGGGTTAGGTGTGCGTAGTGCTCCAGGACGTGTTGCTGCCTTGCTGGATCTGGCTAACCTCTCTTTCTGGGTCCATGCACCTCAACATCTCATTTTACAACTTCACAGTAAAAACAGATATGGCTTCACATGGGATCATCTCCTAAGTAATCAGTCCCGATTTTGCTGCTTCTCTGCTCTTGTATCCTTTGATGGAAACTTTGCACTGAAGCACTACTGAGAAAAGACACAGCATGTTCCCACAGCTGCCAGATAGGCTGCTCATTTCTGGTCCCCCTGTGTGTGGAGACCAGCTCATGCTGTGTCTGGTTCGGTGCCTCGGGTGCAATGATGGCTCTGTTTTGCCCACAGTATGGGATCGTGCTGGATGCGGGGTCATCCCACACTAACCTGTATGTGTACGAGTGGCCAGCAGAGAAGGAGAACGACACTGGAGTGGTGCAGCAGGTGGAGGTGTGTAAAGTCGAAGGTAAGAGGAGAAAAGGGAGCTGTGGAAGGGGCACGGGAGGAAGAAGAGATAATACAACCAAAGGGTGGGGGAGGAGAAACCTGGAGGAGGAGGCCAATAGTGAAAACAGTGTTACATCTGTGAGCTAATGTATATCCCACCGCTTCCCACGGGGACCTGTACGTGCCTGACCTTCCAGGGAGGAAAGCTGGATCCCCTTTTTCCTTTGTTTTTAGGATGCTTGGAAGTAAGTGCTTTTTTGGAAAGAACTACACCAAAGAATGTACTTAAATAAAACGTCTGCATGCACCCTTGCTGAAGTGCCGATGAACATTAGGCAGCAAGAGGGGAGGGCATGGTTTGCTCTTTTTCAAGGCTTCCATGCAAGCTCAGCACTGGGCTTGCAGGCCAAGGTTGCTCAACTTATGCACGTCATGGTTTATTTTTTTTATTCTATCGCTGCGTAGATACTGTATGGTTTAGGAAGGCATAAATGAAGCCCAAGGGTGCAGGTGACAAGGAACAGAGTAGACCGTCATGGGTCGCTGCACTCTGGGGGGAGGAGCGGTGTTGTCAGAGCCTGCCTGGGGTCTTTTCAGGCCTGTCTGCAGCGCAGGGGAGAGCCACACTGTTACCGAGCTGCTGCGATAGCTGCTCAGCACTGCAGCATGCCACGCCACGAGCACCACGCTGAGCGTATGGCAACCTAGAGCAAATGCAGAGTGGGCTTCACTGCTGCCCCTGCAGGCACTGCTCCTGGGGCAGTCCACTCACCAGGGGACACACGGCAGGGAGGGACAATGAATTTTTCTTTGGGTCAGCATGAAAGCGGATAGCTGCAAAACACTTAGTGCTGTAGTATGAGCATACAATACACAAACAAATGACAGCATCTTCTCCCAGAGGACCCAGTGTAGTGAAGGGTCAGGGATTTTCATGTGTAGATCCAGGGTATGCCCAGGCAGAAGCAGAGATGAGCCTGCAGATGTCCAGGACATACTAAAGAAATGATCTGTCTCACTGCAGCCCTATCGCTAGTTCATAGCCTGCTTTGCAGAGACCGGGTGGCAGATGCTGGGTGCAGTGGCTGTCTCTGGGTGCATTGGGCTTAGTTGGTGCTGTAGAATTTCTAAAACCCCTTAGGAATGGGGTGGTTGAATCTGATGTTGCCGCCCGTGATAGTGATATGGTTTAACACGACTGCTCGTGACAGCACTCTGGGGTTATGCTTGGAGTTTGAGCAATGAAATGTCCTTATCTCTTGCAGGCCCCGGGATCTCAGGTTACTCCCATGCCACGGAGGAGGCAGGTCCCTCTCTGGCACAGTGCCTACGACAAGCAGAAGAGGTGATTCCCTCAAAGCAGCACCAAGAGACACCCGTCTACCTCGGAGCAACTGCTGGCATGCGGCTTCTCAGGTACTGCAGGGCTTCTCCCCTTCTCCTGCAGCACTGCGCCTGGGACCACCATGGATGCTCAGTGGGGGCCTCTTGGGCAACGTCCTTGTAAATGTTGCCAGCTCACACTTTGCCCAGATACCCTTTTCTGCCGCTGGCCTCTCTGAACCCCGAGTCTCCCTGGGCTCTTCCCCTGCTTGCCCAGCAGGTCCTTTTCCACTCACTCCAACCTTCCATCATCTCCAGCACCCACATGCAGCGCAGAGATACCAGGAGGGTAGTAGTGTGCAAGCTGATGCTCAGGGGATGCCTAGATAACCCCCACAGTCTGGTATTAGGCCTGACCCAGGATTTCAACCATGTTGCCACTCCCCACATACCTTGACTAAGCCTGAGACCATCAGAGCTAAGGTAACTTCATAATCATGTCCTCCTTTAATTCCAATTTGTGATTTTCATGGGGGTGCCCCAGACCTCTTGCCTGGCTGGGAGAGGGAGCTGATCTTATGTATTGCCTGGGAAATCTCCCTGGGGATACCAGAGGGCATGGATTTCTTCTGTAACGGTGATAGCAAAGAGTGATAGGAATCTCCATGGTGCAATCCCTACCAGGGCACATGCTCCAGGAGAACAAGAGAGCTCTGGTCTCTGCTCCGGGTACCACTCTCAGCTGCGGCGTCTGTAAGTGTCAGAGCTAGTGGCAGCTGTGCTGTCAAGGTATGATAGAGAGGGACGTGGCCAGTTAGAGCTGGAGGTACCCATATGAATACCTGTTCTGTTATAATCAACACTTGGTGGGGAGTTGCAGCCTGCCTACTCAGAAGAAAGCCCGTAGGCTGCAGAGAGCTGTCAGCCAGAGTCACTCCATCCTTTCTTCCATTCATCCAGCTTGGAGAATAAAAGTGCAGCTGACAAAGTCTTGTCCTCAGTAGAGAAGACACTACGCTCAGCTCCCTTCAACTTCCAGGGTGCCAGAATCATCAGTGGTCAGGAAGAAGGAGCCTATGGATGGATCACCATTAACTACCTGCTGGGCAATTTCAAGCAGGTACTGTATCAATGGCAAGTCCATATTTGAATCATTGGCTTGCAGCACTTTGTAAATCATGCCTCGCAGGAGGGTGTCGCAGGCACTATCTTCCCTTGTAAGCCATTTACCAGAGATGGGGAAGCTGCACATCTTGCCTCAGCAATTACTGTGAGTACATCCTGATACCAATAAGTGTCAGGATGTGCCACTGTAGTCAGGCTTAAAGCATTGAAATAAAACACCAGCATTTTTGATAACTTCGCTTGGGTACAGCATCCTCCTCACTTCCTGATCTAAAATATTTCTGTGCCTGCAAAGTTTGACAATGATTCTTCACTATTGAGCTTATAAATCATCTGGGAGCTGAAACACTAAGTTGACTGTTTTTTCTCATAACAGTTGTTTTAGATTTCATATTCTTAGTTCTTCTGGCAAACACTCAGACATGATCCAGCTTCTGCTTTTCCAAGCCTGCATCTTTCTTGTGTCTTGTTCCAGCTCTCATATCATGCCCCCCTCCAGGTCTTCCTGCCTTTCCTGTGTTCTGTGCTTCTGCTTCTCTCCTCGTAGGTCTTCCTCTTTTTTTTTTTTTAATCTGTTTTACCCTGAGTTATTTTTTTTTAAAGTCTGGCTGGACAAAACTTCTACATTCCCTGAGATCCATAAGTGAGACATCAGGAGCACTAGACCTCGGAGGAGCCTCAACACAGATTACCTTTGTACCAAATGAATTCTCTTCTGAGTCCCCAGAGAACCTGCTCTACTTCCGTCTCTATGGCAAGGATTACCTAGTGTACACGCACAGCTTTCTCTGCTATGGGAAGGACCAGGCTCTGCAACAGAAACTGGCCAGGGACCTACAGGCAAGTACATCTGTAATTGCTGGCGGAGATCCTGGACCCTCCCAGCTTTGACATACCGGTTGCTGTAAAAGTTGCTGTGTCCCAGCTAAATGTCTCATCCCTTAGTCTGGGTTTGGGAAATGTCATTGTCCTCCATAAAGACTGGGTAGATGCCCAGAGAGATGACAGCCAACATTTTCAGAAGTACTACCAATTTGAGGTGCCTTCATTCTTGGGCATGGGATAGCAGGAGTACTGTGCTTATCTGAAGTATTTGGGGGAGATGATGTTTCACCATCTCTGAGAATCCCAAGTCAACAGCAGCTTCACAAAAATGTGGCTGAAAGTAATTTGCCCAGGGTCCGACAGGGAGTCTGTGGCAGTACCCACATCTCCCAAATCACAGCCAATGCCTTAAACCATCCTCATCACTTTGACCCAATGTGTGTATCTTGGTGTGATGTACTGTGACAAGTGCCTTGTGGCCACCCTTCCTTGTGGCTCTTTCCCAGGGTGTTACTCTAAAGTGAAGTGTAACAGCTTGGGTTGATTTTACTTGCAGACCGTGGAGAACAGCAGCCTCTTTGATCCGTGCTTTCACCAGGGGTATCAGAGGACTATAAATATAAGTGATCTCTTCAAAAACCCTTGTACATCAGCCAAGGAAAAGCAATTCCCTTTCAGCCAGCTGTACATACAGGGAGAGGGGGATTATCAAAAGTGCCGAAGAAATATCCTGAAACTCTTTAACAAAACCAATTGTCCTTACTCCAGTTGCTCCTTCAATGGGATATACCTACCTCCATTACAAGGGGATTTTGGGGTAAGTCTTCACATTCTTCAACTCTCTATAACCCAGGATATCAGAAAAGCAGAAACTCAGAGTAACGCTGGAGTGTATTCTCCATGGCTGGGGCAGGAAATCATTTACAAGATGGCTTTTCGGACATGTAACTACAAAAGTGGTGCTGCCCTTGCTGTGAGGACAGCATGTGCAAGAGCTACCCCAGTAAATACTGGCCTACCAGCACTGCACTGTTCCCATAACCCATATCCTGTAGCCATCTCCTTGGGATGCCCCATTTACTGATTCATTTTTCAAGCAGTCTTTCTGATAGCCAGCACCAGAGGCAGGAGAGCCTGCTGCAGGCCGTGCATGATACGCTGCTCCTGCAGACCTTGTCTCCTGAGGTCAGCGGTGGTACCAGATCTGAAATTCATCCAGAAGTGCGTGAGCGCTACTGAAGCCAGTCAGTCAGCTCACCTGTCTGCCTCCCAGATGTGATGAGGAGACAGCGTACACTCTGAATGCACATCGTGTGTGACACCACACTGAACGTCAGTCCTAGAGCTGCAAGACCAGTGGCTGTGAGGCTTTCTGGGGGAACTGTTAATACTCCCTTGCCCTGTTCATAAACTGCCCCCTACCTATCAGCTATTGGCCATGGTCAGAGATGGGTTTTCTGGACTTTGGATTATGTGCTGGGGCTGCGTACAGTCCTTTCAGACCATCACCTATGCTGTTTTTGGCAATTTTGGCTGCACACTTACCTCGTTCAGTTGCCAAAATGGGATCAAGGTTGTGATGGCAAGCAGCATTCACCGTGTGCCACTCTGGCACCAGTGCGTAGAGGAGAGAGTTTTACTGAAGTTCGTCAGGATACTGTGATCAGTGAAGTTCCTATCTCCACCTTCCTTTTGGGGTCCTTAGCTCTCATCAGCTCTGAGAGGTGTGTCTCAAAATGACATTGCTCTTGGAAAATATACCTACTTTTTTTGTGTGTGATGTTGCTTCTTATATTTCTCTATCTGTAAATAAAACTATTTTCTTTTGTGGGATTTCTGTTGTCCTGCTCATGCTGAGGCCCAGTCAGGTTAAAATATTCTTTCTCCTTCAGGCTTTTTCTGCTTTCTACTTTGTGATGAACTTTTTGAACCTGACCGGTGAAAAAAGCCCCGTTGCCCTGGACAAAGTTGCCAGCACCATTGAGAGCTTCTGTGCCCGGCCTTGGCATGAGGTGAGCAGTGCTTGTGGCAGTGGGCTGGGGCTGCTGGATGACAAGAGCTGCTGATATTTTTTCTGTAGGATAAATGGTTGGGGGTAACTTCCAAGGCAAAACAGGGAAGATCCTCCCAGCTCCTGCAGGGGTTGCTCAGGCACAAGCTGGACCAGTGGGAAGCTGTGTTTGACAGCCTGGTGACTCCCTCTTTCCCTAGGTGAAGACAGCATATCACCAAATAAAAGAAAAGTACCTGAGTGAATATTGCTTCTCAGGAGCCTACATCCTCTCCCTCCTGGAAAATGGCTACGAATTCACTGAAAAGAACTGGCAAAGGATCCACTTCCTCGGAAAGGTGCGTTTCATGGTGGGGAGGGCTCTATGCCAGCAGCTAACTGCAACCTCTGCTGCACAGCCAGGCCCTCTTTCCCCAGCTGTGCTACTGCCCTGGCAATGCTGCAGGCAGCCCCTGCACCCCCCAGCGCTGATTCTCCTCCTCTCCCATTTCAGATTGGCAGCAGTGATGCGGGCTGGACCCTGGGCTACATGCTGAACCTGACCAACATGATCCCTGCGGAGGAGCCTGCTGTGCCCCCTCTTTCCCATGGCAGCTATGTGGGGCTGATGGTGCTGTGCTCCCTCGTGCTGGTGTCCATGATCCTGTTTGCCTGGCTTCTCTTCCACAAGCCCAAGTGCCTGCAGAAGGGGATTGTTTAGGAAGAGCCTTGGGGGACAGGGGCCATGTCACCCTGGCTGCTCAGGGCTAGGAGACCCTGGCAGAGCAGGCTGTACTGAAGAGCCCCTCTCGCCTCTCACTGAAGTTACTGACTGCACAACAAGGGCATTTATTTCTTCTGACTCACACTTGCACTGACAGATGTTGGGACATCAGGCTCGCCACCTCTCTCTGCCAAGGACAGACAAGCAGGTGTCCCCTCCTTGAATGGGTCGTACTTTCATTCAATGAAACTTTGCTGCTTGTTGGTTTTTGCCTTGTGCACAGCATTATAAAGAGAAAAGTGGCAGCAATCTTTGGGAGCTGGTGCTCCTGCAAGGGTAATCTCAGGGTCACACATCCCACTGAGCTCTTGGGGGTGGTCACACACAGGGTGATCCTGCTCCTCCTCCACTGAAGCTGTTCCCGACAGCCCTTCCCGCACCAGCACACCTCCGCTCGCCTCCCCGCACCCTGAGCCCTTGCAGCCCTGCATCTGGGTACGGCCATCTGCACCCAGCTGGCTCCCAAAGGCTGGCCAGGCTCCCAAATGCCACTCTGGGAAACGAAGGGATGAGGATGAAGAAACTGAGTGTGCTGGTGGTCATCTGCCCTTAGCTGGGCTCTGGTGGCTGTCTGCTCCTTTTGCAGGTGGCAAGAAGCCTCTTTCCCACGTCTTCCTGATGTTGTTGCTGGACCAAAGCTGGCTCACTGTTAACACTGAGCCATTCCCATGTCCCTAGGGTACACCAAGACACGAGTTCCCAGCCAGGCATCACTGATTTTTGTAGGAACAGTTTATACTGGCCAAGGATCCTTGACCAGTATTGAGTGCTTCTGCCTACAGGGACTCTGCTGTGATCAGCGTGCCTACAGGTATACACCCACTAAAGCAATCCAGTGTCACTGTGCTGATCATACAGCAGCTTCTGATCTAGGGAAAATGTTTAAATGTTTATTAGGTCATGTTCCTTTATAAATAGACAGCTGGCAGCAGTTAACCAGCATGAGCATGCACAGATTGAACCACTCTTTCCACCAGCAAAATAAGTGAAAATTTGCCTTTCCTTCCCTCATGGCTTAGGCTTATCCCATGACCGTAAGACCCAGGGCTTGTGAGCACACACACTGCAGCCCATCTTCTAGCACACAGCTAGGATGATGCCACTAATCAAGTTTATGAATCACTTTCTTCTGTTTTCCATGCCTTGGTCCAAAAAAAGAAAGAGAGGTAAGTCAGAAATCCATTTTTATAAAAACACTTGGAAACCACTGGTGCCTGTCTACCTCCCATGAAATCTCAGAAATCTCTTCTAATGACCTGTAAGTGCTGGAGGCCAAAAGAAAGCAGATATTGTGGAGAGAAAGGCCTGGCAAACACACACTTCACCTGTTTCCCCGAGCAAAGCTGTAGGTGTGGAGGGGATCAGGTTGTGCAACCCCAATAAAGCCTTCTCTTTTAGGCAAGCACAGACACAGAGCTTGGGGTTTTCATGCTCTTCCAGCCTGCCCAACTGCATAGTGCAGGCTGGAAAATATCCCCCAGTTATTTCTACTTCATGATTGGAAGTAGGAGCTGTAACATATTGAAGGACCTAAAGGTAAGGGAAAAATCTACCCTGTCTTGTGGTAAGATCTGTGGGCAGTTCATTGTTCTTCCAAAAATCTGTGTCTTATTTTTGCTCTGAATTAGCTGGCTTCAGCTTCTGCTGGATCTTGTTCTGCCCGTTTCAGAAAGACTGAGTAACTCTCTGCTATCAAAATCCCTTTTTTCTTGTTGGTGCTTGCAAGTCGTTGTTGTATCATTAAATAGATTGATCTTCAATCTGTAAAGTGCTCTGTGCTGACCTCACTGGTAGCTCTTGACTCCACTTCCTTGAAAATTTTTACATCTTTCTGAAATTTGGACACCAAAGTTTTCAGCAGCAAGTGGTAGAGTCATTAATAGTGTATGTAAAAGTAAAACTCTCTGGTTTTGATCTATATTCTGTGTTCCCCATTCATATATCTCAGGGCCAGGTCTGCTGACTTAAGAGAGTTTTGGGGCTGTTTTGTCCAGTTGGACTATTGCCACTTGGCCTTTTTTTCCAGTCATTGCAGTCCAGAACAGCTGCTGTCACACCGTACATCACTGTCTCTTAACATGAGCCGCTTTGCCTTCCATGTGGCTCCACTGAAACATGTACTATTCAAAGAATATTCCCGCAAGCAAGTGATCCAGATCAACCCACAATGACACTTCCCTGCACTGTTTGTCCATTGTCCAGTTTTTGTTTTATCTGCAAATACATTGAAATGTTGGAATTCATCTAGAGATGGAGTCTTCCTTCTGTTGTTTTCAGCAAAGATAAGTAGGTAGATGAGAGACTAACTAGTTTTTGGTCACAGCTGGAAGGCATGCAGGAGGAGCGTGTGATCAGAGCTCCTTCAGCTCCCCAGCCAGCCCTGCTTGCAACACACCCCGTCCTGTGCCACCTTCCTTGCATACGGAGTCTTTGTAGCAGAGCAGGTACCATGGAGAAGCCTCTCACGTGAGCTGGTGCATCCTTCCTCCACATGAACAGTGTGGAAATCTGCAGAATGGTAGTTCTTCTCCTGAGATCTCCTCAGGGATCTGGCAGCTGCTTAGTTGTGTCTGCTGGAACTGGCAGATCCGTTGGGACATTTCAGAACTAGATGCAGAAACTCCACGTGGAAGCTGGTGTGGAGAGAAAGCCTGTGCCAGTCTGCTCTTCTGGTCCCTGCTACGGGTTTATGCCAAAGAAAAAGGTCAAATACAGAACCTGGGAGAAGAGCTTTAGCAATGTTTTGTATCTTTATTGCAAGTCCCATAGTATTAATAGTGTTAGCGCTGGATTCTGGAATCTGGATCAGCTGGTATCTTTGCTTACTCCTGTGATGGTGTGGTCCAAACCACTAATTTCGCGACAACACCCTCCTGCCTTCCTTCTCTTGTTTTTTTGGTTTGGGCTTTGGGTTTTTTAACGCTGTAAATGTGACTTGAGTGCAACCTAAAGGCCACAAACTAAGATAAATACAAAATATGTTACATTCTTTTTAAACCTTATGAGTTTTAGACCACGTTTATGAGTCAGTCTCTCCAGAACTAGAATTTCTAAGGTGACGCCAGGCATGCCATTTAAAAAAATCACTTGAACAGGCTGAGGCTCCAGGCGTTGGTTGACTGAAGGCATCCTGTCAGGGTGAGACCCTTGCATATATCACTGGCTGCACTTGAACCTTCCCAGGGAAGCATATGAGTTTTTCTCCCCATTTCTCCTGCTATTGCAGGACTTTATCCATGGATGCTACTCAAAATCCTTGGTCAAAGAGTTGAAGTTTAATGAGCATTCATTTCTTTGCTTCTGTGCTATATCTGACCCAGCTGTATTCAGCTCAAATGTGTGCTCCAGAGCCACCCAATGTGTACCTGAAGACCATTAACGATAGTGGGAGGAATTTCCAAATATGCCAGTAATAATATGGTATCACTTTTCTTGTTAATGCAGTTGATCTGCCTCACTGATAATTATCTGTGCCTTATTTCTAATTTGATAGCTTCTGGCTTTAATTTCCAGCCACTGGCTCCTGTACAGTTTTGCTCTTCTGGGTTAAAACATCTTTTAACACCACATGTTCTCGTCTTGCAAATATTTATTCACTGATCAGCTCTGCTGAGCTGCCGAGACTCCAGACCTTCGTCTCTCCCGTTTTGCCACAGGAAGCCCTGAAATGTGCTGCAGCAAGGTGGGATGAGTGTCTCTGATTTGGATTCAAATGTTGAGTAGTCCATTTTTGGGAAGGTTCCTTGCCAGGGGGATTTGATAGCTTTGCAGGCTGCAGGAGCAGTCTGGTCTCTCTGAGACTGATGACTTCCATGACCTCTCTCGTGTTCACTGAAGTGTCAGGTCTGACGCAAAACTCTCAGTGAGGCTGAGGTTTTGGGGGGTCAGAAGAGAAAGCCTGGGTGCCTGCAGCACGCTCACCTCTTGCAGAAAACAACCAGTCCCCACCACAGGCTCTAAGTACCCTTCGCTCTCCTCCCTGACACAGCCAGCTTCTCCTCTGTGCATGGGCTACAGCTGATTTCTCTGGCTCTACAGCAAAGCAGAGCAGAGCCTCCGTTTGGAACAAAGCTCTCGGAAGTGGGGCCATCACCTCTGCGGTGAGAGGCTGATTTGCAATGTCGGTGCTGGCCGGGGCTCCCCAGCTTCTCCGAGAGCAGCTCTCAGCTGGATGCATGCCCCCTCCTCGTCCGTCCCTTCTTCCCGTGCTCTGTGCCAGGGAGGACATGCAGGCTGGGTCATGGGGCTCAACAGCCTGTTCAGGAGGGGCTAGGGGGGACATGCTGAGGACAACAGTCCCTGCCACCTGGGCCATGCGCTTTCTTTTTGCGGCTCAGCAGTGATGAAATGGATCTTTGTTTTCATGCACGCACGAATCTCTGTATCCTTATCACAATAAAGACTTCTGAACTGATGCCAGAAAAGTTTTTGTGCTGTTTTCCAGAAGATGGGATCTCACCAATGGTGGAATGGAGCTTCTGGCACTAAACATGGAAAAGTCCCAAGATGGGTTTTCCTCTGTTGCCAGTTCCCTGCTGTTCTGGGTAGGATCTGGAGTTCCTGGTGGACGGGCAGCATCTCCTCCTGGTAAGGAAAGGCACTGTGGTCCTTCCCAGGCTTTGGGCACCTCATACAGATGGCCTCACTCCTGGGAAGGTTGCTAGTGCCCAAACCCCATCTTTCCTTGCTTTAGCTTTACTCTGACCTCCCCAAAGCAGCTTGTTCTCCCCTGCTGCGCACTGAATGGCTGCAGTCCTCTGTCCTCATTTTTCCTCTGTCCTCGTTTTCCCTCTCCCTCCCCCAGGCAGCACCACTGGCATCATGCTGCAACTCCCCTCCAAAACAGGTGAAGGATGGGTGGCCTGTGCCCCTCATTTGCAGGGCCATGCGGCTGCATGCCTCTGCCTGCAGCCACAGCTGTAGCTCCGCCAAGGCAAACATGCTTGTCACGGTTCATTTTTCTTTCAGTGCACACTCTCCCCAGTTTGCTCATTCTTAAGGCTCTTGGCTTGAACTTTCCTCAAATTTTCCAATTTTCCCCTGGTAACAATATGGCCAGAATTAAACAAACACACCAGGTGGAGTCTTTCTACAGGCGGCTCTGGAGGGATCAGCTCCTCATTACCTGTGACCCTCAGCCATGCAGTGATGGGGGGGTGATAACGGTGCTAGTGTTCACATTCCTCTCGCTCTCGCCACCGTGGCACAGTGCATTCCTGCTCGCCCTCTTTCTCCCACTGCCTCAAGGTCTCTCCATCTTTGAACATCTGTGGGGGGGGGGTGGATGATCCATCCCAGATGTATTAGCCACATTTTCCAAATTAAGTCTTTGTTTACTTCCTGCACTGTTTCTAAGAGCTAATGTCTTTGTTTCTGCTTTCATCAGTGTTTTTTCACATGTCCAAACTTATTATTGGCTTAAAGCTTCATTAGCATGTTGTTTTCCTAGAATGTAGTAAGAGCCACGCTAGGTCAGATCAGACAGGCAGCACATTGGCACTCGTCTCCAGCTGCACGGTGTGCGAGGATTTAGATGCACATTTAGGGAAAAGGCATGATCCTTCCCTTCTAGTGGTCAGGGGCATAGCAAATTTGTGATCAAGCGATTGCTTCTGGATCTGCATAATTAATAGCTGTGGATGTCCCAGTTCCCTATGAATTCATCCTATCCTCTTTTGCATTCATTTAACTTTCAGCTTTGACGAGGTAATTTCATTGTGCCTGGTGTGCAGAACTATTTCCTTTTCTTTGATTTAAACCTGCTGCCTGATAACAGGCTGTCTCCATCCCTATGCTATGGATAACACTGACTAAATCTCCAGACTTAGCAGTGTGAGATGCACTCTCCGCCCACCCCAGATTTTGCTCATGGCTCCTTTTTAGGATCTAACGCTCTGCCTTTTCTTGTTTCTCCCATCAGTGTTGCCTTGTCTCCATAGGAAAGCGAGCTCTTTTCTCATGCGTCCCTTGGCAGCACTGCAGCTCCAACCCTGCCACTGCTGTCGCAGGCTGCTGAAAACAGCCTGGGAAGGGAAAGAGGAGGGAGGAGACAGACCAAACATGGGGTTTGTGCTATTTTACTATAGCCCTGCCTAGCGCTCTCTGGCTGCCAAGTACCACTGGCTAGCGCTGGAAACCTGCCCACCTCTTTTGCATTGCTTTGGTTGCTGAAAGCTGGGGAGACAGCAGCTCCACGGGAACCCAGCAGCCCTGGGAGTGGCCACGTGAAGGAGGCAAGGGCATTTCCCACCACTGCGTGGGTCCCAACTCTACAAAATACCCCCAGATACGGCTTGCGGTAGAGATAAGAGCTGTCCTACCATACCCATGCTTGCCATGCCCTTCCACAGCGTCATCTTCTTTTCCTTGGTTTCCTACAAGTGCTGGGAGAAGCTGGCACCTCCAGCACCTTTCTTGTTACCTGGCTAAAGATGGGTGCCGTGCCTTTCCCACTCCTGAATGTGTGTTGCTCTGAGACTGACTGACAAGTGGGCACGTAGTGGGATGGAGCTTAACTGAGAGAATGTATTAATATGGTTACTGCTATCTTTACATATGTATAATATTCTTTCTTTTTCTGTTCGTGTCTTCAAAAGATATTTGTTCAAAACTGGGACTTTTACATTTGGTTTTTTTTTTTAAAGGGGCCATAACTGAGAGGAGGGCACTGTGCAGATGGGGCAGAAGACCAAGAAGGCACAGGGACAAGGAGAGAAAGGACTACTAGGGTGGGGCTGGGACAGAAGAAAGTTGGAATTGAGAAAATCTGAGTAAGCCAAGCCAGGAGCAGGCAAGCCATGTGCTTTGCCCACCAGCCTGCCCTGTTTGCGTTAGAGGCTATAAACAGGGGCTCCCTGGTTTTACCACTGGGAAATTGAGGCAGAAAGGCGGTCAGTGGCCCAAGCGGATTTGGAGGACAGGTAGGAAAGTAGTGGTGCTGGACAGCACTAGTAGAGGATCCTTGCTGGGGGAAGAGGCAGCTAGAGCAACCCTTGTCATAGCGGCTAGTGCCACGCAGTGTGGATCCACCTCGAGGTTGAAGGGAAGGCAGATGTTTAGCATGGCACCAAGTATCCTGAGAAGCCTATTGCTGATGGCAGGAGGAGCTCCTTTCTAGTGTGGCCTGGGCAGAGCAGCATGGCAAGCTCATGTTACCAAAGGGAGCCTTTCTCCTGGCATGCCCAGCCGTGACGGTAAATCTTTCGGCTGTCTGCGCTCACGTTTGGGCTCTGTGTCAGGGATGTCCTAATAAAGATCTCTGTCAGAGCCGCTAAGCTGCTGAAGTTTTAGCCCCACAGGATAAGGCTGCAAAGCCTCCTGCGGATGCACCCGTCCATGAGCAGAGCGGAGGGACCCTGAGGTGAGTGCTGCCCACGGGGCCGAGGATGTACCCGGCAGAGGGTTGGAGAGGAACCAGCTTCCCCCACATCCAGAAACGGTCTGCAACTCTTTATTAACAGACAGCGAGGCATCCTCATCTGCCTTTAGGCCCCTGAGCTCCCCTCTGCTGCCAGTTGCCCAGTACCTGTTGGTATCATTATCATGCCCACTCCCGGCGCAGGGCAGGGCGATGCCAGCGCTCTCCTTGCTGGTCCCTGCGCAGCAGACGACTCCTGCATCAAGCCCCACGCCGCCCCGTCCCCCCCCCCCCGCAACGCCCTAGCTCGGCTGTCTGGGTAGGCAGCTGCGGGGAGGGCGATGCGGTCCCTGCCTCCGTTCATCCCGGGAGCGGCGGGACTGCCGGGGCGGAGGGGCCGCCAGACCCGCGGAGCCCGCGGCGATGTCTCCCTCTGCTTGCCCAGGAGATGGGGCAGGAGAGCAGGCGCGGCTCCGAGCTGGCGGCCGGGCCCCGGGGG